AAGAGCCTCTATTATCAATTTTATTCCTTCAAAACCGAGCTGACAAGAATAAAGATCCAAAGTGGTCAAAGAAGTGTTTTTGCAAAGAGCCTTTGCCAAAGCTTTGCTTCCATTAATGCCAAGCATGTTTCCGTTAAGATTTAAAGAAGTTAGAGAAATATTTTTATAGAGAGCTTCCGCAAGAGCTTTCCCTCCTTCGAAATTAAATTGATTATAACTAAGTTTTAAGGTGGTCAATGTGGAATTTTTGCGAAGGGCTTCTGCAAAAACTTTGATTCTGAAGGAGAAAATGCATTATCAGAAACTTTTTACAAAAATACTACTTTAACTTCTTTGTATATTAATTGGAATAAAAAAATTACCAGAAACCATTTTAACTGATTTATTTCAAATTTATTAAATTTGGTTAAATTTGAATTTTAAAACTTTTATAGCTCTGTGTTATGCAAAAGTAAATGGGGCCCCTGTATTTGTATATCTTAAAATTTAAATAGATACTATTTCAGTATAACATACTTTGATTTTAATGATTTGATAATTGATTGATTGAAATTGAAAAATAAAACATATATAGTATATTCCGATATATAATTAATTTTTAATTCATGAAGCTATAGCTTATCGCATATAATTTAAAGTTAATGATAAGACATAAAGTATAAAACTTATAAAACTTTTACTGTAAAATTTTTGAGGGATAAAATTTTAGAAAAATTAAAGATAAATTATTGATAAAAGGTTAAAAAATGCATATGATATTTATAATAATTTTAATAGCTATTAATATTAATTTCACCAATCCATTTAGTTATGATGTTTTCAAGCTCTTCAGTTTTTAGAGGTTTTGTGAGATAATCATTTATTCCTAACTCTATACATTTATTTTGTATCTCTTCAGTAAATGAATTCGTTAAAATAATAATTGGTATGTTTGAAATTGGTGGCTCTATTGCTCTAATTGCTCGTGAAACATCAAAGCCTGACATTATTGGCTAAAGTATAATAATAAATTAATTGTGAACGTGAATATTTCATTGTGATAATAATAAATACAAATAAATTAAACTTACTAAATTACATTCCAATAAAATAAGAGAAATTCTACAAGAATTTATTTGTTTTATATCTGAATCAGATGAACTTGAAGATGAATTACTTAATAACTTAAACTCAGAATCAATTAATCTAACTGCATCTTGGCCATTTGTTGTGGAGACCGTTGAATAACCAAGTTTTGAAATTTGCTGCACTGTGTTCTAATCATCAAAATTAATTATAAAATTGGTAAAATAATGAATTTACATATAAAATATTCAAACCAAATTACCTTTAGACTAATAGAATCATCATCCTACAAATAAATCACCGATTAAATAAGTTTAACATTATAATATTAAATAAGATATTATCCCTTTTGACATCATTTCGTACAAAAGGACATTTAATTTCGTACAAAATGACATTTAATTTCGTACAAAGTGACATTCGATTTCGTACAA